ACTATCCCGCTCTTTCTGGCGCTCTCTTGCTCTCCTTGGCACACTTTCTCTGGCACACTCTCTCTCCCTGGCGTGTGTGCTCTCTCTCCCTGGCGTGCGCGCTCTCTTGCTCTCCTTGGCACACTTTCTCTGGCACACTCTCTCTCTCCCTGGCGTGTGTGCTCTCTCTCCCTGGCGTGCGCTCTCTCTTGCTCTCCTTGTCACACTCTCCCTCTCTCCCTGGCGTGCGCGCTCTCTCTGGCATGCGCTCTCCCCCTGGAGTATGCGCGTGTGCTCTCTCTCCCTGGCGTGCACGCTCTCTCTCTCTCCCTGGCGTGCACGCTCTCTCTCTCTCCCTGGCGTGCACTCTCTCTCTCCCTGGCGTGCGCTCTCTCTCTCCCTGGCGTGCGCTCTCTCCCTGGCGTGCGCTCTCTCCCTGGCGTGCGCTCTCTCCCTGGCGTGCGCTCTCTCTCTGGCGTGCGCCCTCTCTCCCTGGCGTGCGCTCTCTCTCCCTGGCGTGCGCTCTCTCTCCCTGGCGTGCGCGCTCTCTCCCTGGCGTGCGCTCTCTCTCTCCCCCTGGCGTGCGCTCTCTCCCTGGCGTGCGCTCTCTCCTTGGCGTGCGCTCTCTCCTTGGCGTGCGCTCTCTCTCTGGCGTGCGCCCTCTCTCCCTGGCGTGCGCTCTCTCTCCTTGGCGTGCGCTCTCTCTCCCTGGCGTGCGCGCTCTCTCCCTGGCGTGTGCTATTTCTCTCCCCCTGGCGTGCGCTCTCTCTCTCTCTCCCTGGCCTGCGCTCTCTCCCTCTCTGGCGTGCATTCTCTCTTTCCCCCTGGCGTGCGCGCTCTCTCTCTCTCTCTCTCTCTCTCCCTGGTGTGTGCTCTCTCTCTCCCTGGTGTGTGCTCTCTCTCTCTCTGCTGTGATCTCTCTCTCTCTCTCCCTGGCGTGCCGGCTCTCTCTCCCTGGCGTGCCCGCTCTGGCTCCCTGGCGTGCGTGCTCTTCTCCCACTCTCACTCTGTGTATCTCTGCTGTTGTGAATAAGAAAAATAAAGGACACATTTTCATTGCTGCTGCCAGCAGACATAGAAGGGTTAAAGAAATTGACTCTCAGCAGTTGAAAATGCAACCAAACTGGTATTACACTGCCTTACCTCCCTTAGACACAGGCATGGGCAGGTCTCCTAAATGATGGGGACCTGTGCTTGGAATATTATCCGAGGAGTCGATAACATAATGAAGCCTTGCCAGGAAGTCCATAATATGACTTTTTTAATATACAGTTATCTACAAGTTTATGTGGTTTTGAAACTAGGGGAATGCATAACTAATAAGATATACAAGCATGGTACATTATTTTTTGTTTTTGTGAACCTGCACACAATGTGTGTAATATTGTCATCCCAGAGTTCATCTGTTGGCCAAATATTGAGTATCTGATTGTTTGGAATTTGATTGTCTTGACATTGGCAGTCAGGTGTTATTTGTAGAGTTAGTTACATGTTTTCTTTTCTCTTGCAGTTAAAAAAGAAGCAGGTCTATGTGGATAAAGTAGAGAAGATGCAGCAGGCTTTGGCCCAGCTCCAGGCAGCTTGTGAGAAAAGAGAACAACTGGAACATAGACTGCGCACCAGGCTTGAACGGGAACTGGAATCTCTACGGATGCAGCAGGTAAACCTGGTACTCCTCACCTTAGAGGGAACACTTAGCAAGGAAGTTAACACATAAATCAAGATGTTGATGATTGAGCAAATCTAGCTGATTCACACATAAACTAGAAAAAAAACTGGTCTGTCTATAGAAAAAAAAAAGACTATTTAGGTAGTTGATTTCTGCTTTGAGGGTCAAAAAGCTGGGAAGATGAATCTGCCACTTCGGGCCACTGATATTTACGTTGCTTGGGATCCCCGCTTTTGGGGGACTGAGTATAATCCCTGTTAGTCAGGGTCAGAACCAACACAGGGTAATGATCTTTCACCCCCCACTACAACATGACATTGTGCAGGCCTTGAGATCGGATGCTCAAGCTAGAGCACTGCATCCTGGCAGGAAGAGAATAAGGTTACACGCCCCCTATATCTAGGGCAATCGGTGGGGGTAAGGTGCTCCATGAAACTAACTAGTCATTTTGCCCATTCAGGTTCTCTTTCAGCTGGTTATGCACCGTACCTAAGCCAGAAATAATGCAACAGGTTCCAGCATTGCTTGCAAACTTCTAGCAGTGTATGTGTTAATTCTTAAATGAAAAAAATAAATAGTTTGGGCAATGGAGGTCCCTCTTTATGCATGCAGAGATTGTCCAGCATGTTGTCAGTTAACATTTTATCTTCTCTGTAGAAAGGGCACAGTCCTTCCCTTAACCATGTCAGAATGCCCATTGAGAGGGAAAGTGGCAAATCCCTGCAATATACATTTAGAATAAGGATGGGCAGAGCTTCCACGGTCAGTCTACCTGGTGACGGATCTGTCCTATGTATAACCAGTTTTATAGCCTTTATAGTCTCCTTGTATACTTGGCTACCCTTCTAGCCAAATCCCCATGGTTGCTATATCCATTATCCTTGTAATCTGATTGGTTGACAGAGTTAATTGTCACCCTCTAGAGCAGTGGTTCTCAACCTGTGGGTCGGGACCCCTTTGGGGGTCGAATGACAATTTGCCAGGGGTCGCCGGGAGTCTCCCGCTATTAGATAGTGGCTCCCGGCCGCCCGGGAGAGAAACACTTTCTCCTGGAAAGTTTTAATCTGCCCGATCGAGCAGAGTAAACCTTTCGCTGCAAACGTTTTTTAATTTTTTTATTTCTGACATTGGAGCCCCGGCCGCCGTAAGTCAGAAAAAATTTAATAAATCAGCATTGGAATGCATAGCTACATTCCTATTGGCTATTTCACTTTGCAATACCAAACTAGCTATTGCACCCGCCCACTGCTGCTGTCAATTAGCAGAGGGGGACCTGAAGTTCTCCATCAGGTCCCCATCTAGTGATTATCATCATTATTATTAATAATAAAAGCTGACACCCTCGCCTTGTGTTATATGGTTTGCCATTTTAGCTGTTACAACAGTGGTTCTCAATCTGTGGGTCGCTGTGTGATTTCTGCTGTGCTAGGTGAGAGTCCTCCTTAGCCCTCTCCTAGCACAGCAGTGCCAGTTCTCCCGCCACGCCGCCAGGTGTCGCTGCAGCAGCCGCGTCAACCCTAAATGTTACCGTTGGGGGTCACCACAACTTGGCAAATGTTACCAAGGGGTCCCGGCCCTAGAAAGGTTGAGAACCACTGCTCTAGAGAATCTACACACTGCATCATGTGGCAAGAGACTACAGTCCCATTTAGAAGCCCTGTGAGAGATTTAATCTGAATTTTATAATATTTAGTACAGCTGCTTTTAGTAAAATAAAGTAAAATGTAGTCATTTTTTTTAGATTTGGATTGGTTAGGGGTTAGAACCACTATCATAGTTAGTCAGGTTGAAAAGAGACACAAGTCCAGGTTTGTATTACTGTCTGTGTCCTTGTTAAGGAGATTCACTCTCTTTAATTGTCCTGATCACTAATATCATCGGGAATAAAAGTGGGGGTAAGTCCAAAATTTGACTTGCCAGCAGAACGGGAATAGAGGGGAAATCTTCCAGTGGGGATACATGTTCCCATGAACACTAAGAGGGGATTTAACTTCCGGTCGAGTCTTCAGTAAAGAAAGTGAAGAAAAATCTCCCTAATGAGAGAAAGAGGGCAAAGAAAACTGACAGCACATCTAAAATGGGGGAAAAAATGTTGGCTTTAAAAAATGTTGGCTTTAGATATGCCTTAAACAGCATTAGCTGCTCACTGATTTATTATCTTCTCTTGTTTAATACAATTATTTAAAAAAACAACAAAAAAACCTACCATGTATTCATTTCTACAAACATATGAATATTCTGAATGACATTTATGAAGTCTGAAAGTAAAGCTTTGAAGACCTCACATTTTCATTAGTGAGGATTTATAAATGTAGGCTACTGAACCAGTTTAGCCCTCCAGCTAAATAGGGTGTGATGCCATCAGGAATGAGGCTTAGCGCAGCTTGTTAAATACGTCTTTGCCTATAATACACTTTTCCCATGCCAGACGAAACTCACCATATAACTTTAAAGAGACGGCATTTTGCTGAGAGGACGCTTTTTATGCAGTGTCCTTTGCTTCTGTTTCCATAAATGGTCCCCTTTGTATGAACCTATTACCATAATATATGCACACACATGCATTAAATATACATTGGCCGCCCGGCAGACGCCCCAGAAATAGCCACTACAAATTTAGCCCTTTCTTTGACCCAAGCAAAGTGCTGTGTGTGCACATTGCTCAGGAAGTATTTGCACAGTCAGGTCATTACAAACCCCCAGCCTTCCAAGAGTTTTGAAAAAAAAAAGAGTCTAGAGTAGGTGAAGTGTGGTCAGCAACTCCTGTGGAAAGCCAGCAAAACAATTGCCTTGTTTGTGACTTGTATCCAGAAGAAAACTTTATCAAGTTCCCCTTGAGCTGTTGCTTCAGGGTCTGGACTTGTCAGTGGTGTACACTGTATATTGTGTCTTGCTCACATGTGGAGAGGGAATTTTAATGAACTGAGACTTGTCTCTATATCAATGCTTCATTGTTCTGCTATCCAATACTTTATACTCTTAACCTCTTGCTGCAATCTATTGAACCATATATTGCGATTAACCTTTATTAAAAAAATGCCGATTATATATAAGCAACATCTGTTTTGTGTTGTTGGTTTTGTTCATCCCTTTTTTTTTATATGCTCTGCAAAATTGTTATCAGATGAGGTGCAATCAGCTGGACTTTTGGCATGTCTTATGGTGCAATCTCATCTTTAGTTATCTAATTTGTATGGACGTTATAGTCTATCACTGGAGGGAGCTTGAAGCGGTGGCTACTTTAAAACACACATAGGGACCATGGGGAACAAATGCATCCAATTAGATCTAACGGACCTGTGCTATTGTTATTTGCCTACACCCAGCTGCATGTGATACACACAAATGAACTATATAAACACAAAAATACACTGCGCTCAAGTGAAGGAAGGACAGTGTCAGCACAAATTCAGAGATGATTTGAGGATCTACAGCTGAGTGATACACAAATAAGATACATTTTTGTTAATAGTTAAGTGACTGTAATGCATTTTTTTTTAAAAGCCCCCACGTTCTCCTGCTTAGCCCTTCAAATAGATTTTAATGGGACATACCCATACCAGTATTACACACACACACACACACACACACAACCCTCAGGTCATGCTTACCTCCTCCTGCTGTCTGCATTCTGGCTAGTAAAAATTAAGTTTTGGGCTGTCGGTGTCTGCAAACTAGCATCCTTTTAATAGGACATTGCTGCTGCAGTACGGGTATGTCCCATTTAAATCTATGGGATGTTAGTGCACAGGCAGCCCAACTATATATATATTTTTATGGCTGGGCAGACCGTGTGGGAGGCCACAGCCACTAGAGGGGGCAAGTACATACCTGCAGGGATTGGCACAACTGAATGTATTAAGAGAATGGGGCTGGATGGATTTTTGAAAAATGGGGAACTTGTACTTTAAGATTTATGGTTAGGATTTGCTTTGTGGTTAAGTGTTAGTTCTGGGGTCAGTCTAAAGCAAAAGTCAAGTGCCCTAGCTGTAAATATTTTAATTTGTATTATAATGGCTCTTATTTTAAGGAGAACTATGAGGTGAGTGCTTTTCACTCACCTCATAGTTCTAGCCAACCTGTGACAATGAGACTGTCACAGGTCGGCTCAGTAGATCGGGAGGTGGGCGAACACATGCCGGCGTTCGCTCACTTCTCGATCCTGTCACGTCTCTCTGCCGTGACAGGGGAGGGGATGGATTCTCCCCTCCCCGCTCCGATCCGCCAGCGCTGACTGGCGGAACGGACGGGGGAGGGGGCGGGTACAGCTGGCTCTGCCTCTAGATAGGCAGAGCCAGCTGTCACTCACGCAGCTGGGCGGATCTCGACATCGATGTTGGGATCCGCTCCGGCGTCTCAGTACACCGCGAGCTGTAGCTCGCGGTATACTGAGCTTAGGGTGAAGGGAGGACGATAGTTTGTGTCCTCCTGTTACCCAAAGGAGAACTATGGGGAAAAGCCATGACCCCATAGTTCTCCTTTAATATAGAAGAAAAATTGGTGGCATCTTGGTGTGCATTATACCTGAATACACAAGCTTGTAAGGCCCCCTTTTGCAGCAGGCAAATTGGCTGAATTCAAATTTTTCACAGGTTCTGTCCCTATAGAAAGACTGAGGAGACACATGTGTGTAATGTGTTTCTCTTATTAACATACAATGCAGAAGCCAGAGTTGCAGTCCTTTTAACCCTTTGTTAGGACAGGCAGTGTTCAAATCTACTTTACAAATTATAATGAATTAAGCCAGCACATTACAGACAGGGTTAACAAACACCCCTCACAGCCCCTCCTAACAAGAGAAGCCAATAACGTTTTAACAGGTAAAAGGCAATTAAAACGGCAGGAAGCAATTTTTGAAAAAAAAAATAATTCTTTAGCTTATGTGATGTGAATGAGAACACGATGTAACGCATATAAAGTAGGCGTTATTCCAAAATGGCTGCAAAACTGGAAATACACTTTAACTATATGAGCTCTTCATGTGATTTTCTTGAGGTATTGTAAACTATTGTTAAACATACCGCGGCTGATTTACCAAAAGATTGTGGACAATAAAATGTGAAGATTCACTTCAATTATCCAATGATGTAAAAAGAAAATCCCTGCTTACCTATTTTATCTACACATGATTGGATAATTGAAGTGAATATTCACACAATTTATTCTGTGAACATTCTCAGATCCTTTAGTAAATCAGCCTCATTATGTTGGTAATTTTTTGGCTAGGTAATGAATGCAGCTGCATAGTCACTGCAGTTTACATAAATTGAAAAAAAACTAATTTTTCTCTAACAATTCCTGTAGTCACTAGCAGAATGGTCTTACGGGTAAGGTGGCAATCAAACCAGCAAAACTTCAGCAAGTGCATATTTTTATGTTGCTGCTCATTAACTATTGGCTTGAAAGGGGTAGACAGTGGCTGGTGTACCAAGGTTGGTTCTTTTGCCTCCATCACAATTCAGTATTTTTGGTGAAGATAAATGCATGTGAAATTGATTAAATGTGTGCTATTATGGTCAATATTTCTGTTTGCATCATTGCATTGTCAAGCAATGTGCACTTTGTGTACAATAAAATGTGTAATAAAAGTCCAGCAAAAAGCACTTTGGCAGCATTTGAAAAAAAGATCTGAATGAAAATGCATAAAAATGTGCATTATATGCAATATACTATAGATGGTATCATCTGTCCCTAGAAACGCTTATTCAAGAAAACATAAAAATGCAAAAAAATTAAAACCTTTTGAAATGCGAAAGTGCAAAGCAGCAGTTAGTGAAGAGAACTTGGATCACTTGTGATGTGGAAGTGTCCATAATCATGGGATTTGGTCACCATTACTTCCTGAAATTATATTTTTCCATGGTATTAAAGATTGGAACAGTGAATTTATGAACAACCAATGGCTGTCCTTATCCTTTCCACTAATACTAGACAATCATAACATACAGCAATTTAGGCCCCATGATGACCATGCACCTATGGTAATATTTTTCACAGTAGGTTATGCAGATATTTACACTACTTATGTATTACAATCTATTTACCACCAGACAGTCGGAGCCACGACGTCTGTTTTCTGTGCTGACCTGATCCGTACGCTCCTGCACTAAAAATGCATCCCAATGTATCCCTATGTGTTTTATGGCCTACAGTTCTCACGTGCGCAGTCCGTTCAGGTAACGGCAGAAAAAATACTGCATGTCACATTTTGTACGGTCAGGAAATGGTCAGGAAACGCAAAACGCGGCAAAAACGCACTGCACTGCAGCTAACATACTGACAGCCCCACTACAGCAAAAAAAAAAAAAAAAAAACTGGAGCGCATCCAAAACGCGACAAAACACATAGCACTGCGTCTGCTGATCCGGACCTGCTCAGGACCTGAAAATCATGTGAACAGGGCCTAATTGTTTCGGTCATAGTTCTTTAGAGCTTATTGTTTCCACAGTGTACAGTTGTAGTTACACTTGAGCAGAGGTAACCCTGGATCTGATGCACTTCTTTTAGGCCCTTATTGACAAGCTGAAACCTCAGGCCCTGTTCACACCTTTACATTTTGTCGCGCGTTCAACGCTCTATGAACGCTCTACAAAACGTACAAACATGAAAATCCCATTGTTTTCTATGGGTATGGTTCACACCTTTCCGTATTTCTGCCCGTCTGAACGCTCTACAAAACGGCCTATGCCCAAAGAAGTACATGTACTTCTTTGGGGCGTTTTGGTCGCGCGTTTCCATTGGGATACAGCCAAGTAGCCCTCGGAAACGCGCGTTTTTTTAACATTCAAATTCAACAATGCTTTACCCTTTTATTGAAGATTGTATTATTGAATTGCAATGTAAACTGATTGTTTTCTTTTAGTGCAATTTGAAACTTGGATTTATTGATTTCTGTTATCGCAGCGCCAGGGGAATTCTCAGTCCACCAACATTTCAGAGTACAATGCTGCAGCACTTATGGAGCTGCTCCGAGAGAAAGAAGAGCGAGTTCTGGCCCTGGAAGCAGACATGACCAAGTGGGAACAAAAATACTTGGAAGAAAGTGTCATGAGGCAGTTTGCACTGGATGCTGCTGCTACTGTGGCAGCTCAGAGGTGAATATCTGACTTTTGATGTGCTTGCAGTGATTTGCTATGTTCGTATTAACATGTATTACTATAAATTATTATAATTGCTGTAATATATCTACATGGAGGCAGCCATATTTGCTAATTACATATGCAGACTCTGCTTTCTGCTCGGTTTGACTTCACCGTGATTGTGCCTTGTTAATCCACACCTCACTGCAAGTCAGCCAGGCAGGGTCTGTCTAATTGTAAACAGACTTTGTGCAGTCTTTAATGATGTGAAATATCCACAGTGCTCCTGATAGTCAAAGAACACATAATTCTTGCCTAGGTTTTTGGTCACATGAGCAAGCTTAGAAGCAGCCTTTTTTTTAATAGCAATAAAGAGACTTATTTATATTTAAAAATAATAATGGGATTTAGTTATTTTAATGCGCCTTATGGATTCACTTGAATTGTGATTTCTAATGATCAGTCCACTTTAATACGTAGATTCACTTGAATTGTGGTTTTCTAGTGATCAGTCCACTTTAATACGTAGATTCACTTGAATTGTGGTTTTCTAGTGATCAGTCCACTTTAATACGTAGATTCACTTGAATTGTGGTTTTCTAGTGATCAGTCCACTTTAATATGCAGGTCCACTTGAATTGTGATTTCTAGTGATCAGTCCACTTTAATATGCAGGTTCACTTGAATTGTGATTTCTAGTGATCAGTCCACTTTAATACGCAGAAAATATATCCAGTTATGCATTATTCTGTCTTGCCTCAACGAGCAAAGAAATTACAATCTAAGCACTATTCAATTTAAAAAATATTTTCTGCTATAAAATTTCCAGGCACAAAGCAGTTCTCTGTTTCTGCAGTACATCTGGTTGCTGAAAATCACTCCGTCCACAAGCTATGTGTTCGCATTGGAAAGTCTTGTTTTTCTTCTGTCATTAACAACATTTTTGGATGCATTTTAATAGTTTAGCAACCAGGTGCAGTGATGTCCTGTCATGCTTAGTCATTACTACACCAATCTAGACACCAAACTACACCAGGAAATAGGTTATTAACTCCAATAGACTGACATCGTGTGGTATGGCAGTTACGGCAAATGTTCTTTGATCAGTGATGGAAACACATAGACCATCATTTTTGCAGGTTTGGTGTCTAGAAATGTTTATGATCACAAGTGGGGTACTAGTAAATTTGGGTTTTAGCTTCCTCTCTGTAACACCAGATGTAAGTATCAGTGCCATGGGTGGCACAATAATCGGTAAAATGAGCCTACCCAGTTGTTGTAATATGTGCTGCAGTTACTTCAGTGAACACAATTCACACACAATTGTATCTCACAAAGTGGTCTACATTGCTGATCTGTGCAGCGTGTGAATTATATCTGGCATTATTCTTCAAGGCCACTGGGAAACATATACAGGTGAAACTCGAATAATTAGAATATCGTGGAAAGTTCATTTATTTCACTAATGCAACTTAAAAGGGGAAACTAATATATGAGATAGACTCATTACATGCAAAGCAAGATAATTCAAGCCGTGATTTGTCATAATTGTGATGATTATGGCTTATAGCTCATGAAAACCCCAAGAACCCCAAATCCACAACCTCAAAAAAGTAGATTATTACATGCAATCAATAAAACAAGGATTGTACGTAGAACAATATCGGACCTCTGAAAAGTACAAGCATGCATATGTACTCAGTACTTGGTTTGGGCCCCTTTTGCAGCACTTACTGCAATTACTTTTGCACAATATTCTAATTATTCGAGTTTCACCTGTATTACAATCTGCATCGGTGAAATCACGTTTTTGAGCATAGTTGAGTTAGTTCTAGGGCCCACTGCTTTGTCATATTTAGCAGGATACACATACTTTAGCTGGCAGCCCAAAGTTTCTATACTGCTGATGGAGTGAGAAACTGGCCAAGAACATAATGATGGTTCTGCAGTGTGCTGCACATTCTCCCCTTATCTTATCTCCTCCTGGTGTGCTCTTCTCAGGCTGTGTGTTGGAATTTACTAGTTATTTCAGGGACATGAGGTTTGAAGAGCTAAAAGTTGTAAAACTGCATATCTGGATATTGAGCTGGCTTGTGTAAGCACAGGGCTTAACTACTTGCATGCCAAGTAGATCTATATGTGAATTGTCCCCACCACATGTGGAGGGATTAGCTATTTTGGCAGAGCTTTAAACCTCAAATCTGAAATTACTATATTAGTCCCACGGTGTGAGTGTGTGTGTGTGTGTGTGTGTGTGTGTGTGTGTGTGTGCGGAAAAAAAAAAATTAGTTATAAAGATATTTTTTAATCTTTGTGGTATAAAGTTAACAATGCTTTGCAACATTGTTAGCAGAAGCAGGAAGCTCAGTGCAGACCCCAGTTAACGATTGCTTGGTCAAAGATCAGAAATGGCTTTCATGCTTAGGAAATTGTTATATTTTGTATGACTAACAAAGAGTAGTTGACGGGATGCTGGTTTACATTTTTCATGTGGACAAAAAATGTTTAATTACACGCCTGCATTTTATATATGTGTTGCTCCGGATTTTAAGGTATCACTGTTCTACCTTCAATATGTTTTCTAAATCACTACTTTATACCTGTTTTCAGGGACACCTCCTCTATAAGTCATTCTCCGAGTTCAAGCTTTGACATCACGCTAGAGGCCAGGATCCAAAAGGAAGAAGAAGACATACTTCTGGCCAATAGACGATGTGTAGATATGGAAGGGAGGTAAGTTTTGATTGGACAGGTGTCTAGTAAACAGATTTTGCCCCCGGGTGTGAGGGTGGGTGTGTGTGTGTGTGTGTGTGTGTGTGTGTGTGCGGAAAAAAAAAAATTAGTTATAAAGATATTTTTTAATCTTTGTGGTATAAAGTTAACAATGCTTTGCAACATTGTTAGCAGAAGCAGGAAGCTCAGTGCAGACCCCAGTTAACGATTGCTTGGTCAAAGATCAGAAATGGCTTTCATGCTTAGGAAATTGTTATATTTTGTATGACTAACAAAGAGTAGTTGACGGGATGCTGGTTTACATTTTTCATGTGGACAAAAAATGTTTAATTACACGCCTGCATTTTATATATGTGTTGCTCCGGATTTTAAGGTATCACTGTTCTACCTTCAATATGTTTTCTAAATCACTACTTTATACCTGTTTTCAGGGACACCTCCTCTATAAGTCATTCTCCGAGTTCAAGCTTTGACATCACGCTAGAGGCCAGGATCCAAAAGGAAGAAGAAGACATACTTCTGGCCAATAGACGATGTGTAGATATGGAAGGGAGGTAAGTTTTGATTGGACAGGTGTCTAGTAAACAGCCAATGTTTAACTAGACTTGGGTCACCTTTTAATGTAGGGTTAACATTGCCATAACTTTTAGTAGCATACTGTTGCAGATCTGGAAAAATCTTCCTTGTAACACTATAACATGCTGTGAATTACATCCTGCACTGTGAAATTGGAACTGAATCAGTAGATGGAAAGCAGTCTGCTGCTTAAATCTTTTGTGACGTGTACAGTGTGTCCTCTCCATCCCCTTGTGACTTGGTCTCATGGTTTATGGAATGTCTAATACTGGCTTGAATGAGACTTTTGGAACAAATATTAGTTTCTAGTATTTGTCTATGTGGGGAAATGTAAGGTTTATGAATTCTGGTCTAAATAATATGGTAAATAATAAATGTAGATTTTTGTCAAACTTCACAATTTAGCTTCCTGTCCTCAGCTTTTCATACTTATTTTGGCTTTGTTTGAACAGAACAGTTTACCCAATTGCGTAAAATAGTCTAACCATAAAGAACATGGTGTTGAGGGAACATCTAATCCTGAGTCTGAGATTTTGTAGTTTGGGCATTTCTCTCTATCACATCTCTGTGGCTCTAACATTTTAAACACATAATCCCCTTCATTTAGTATGAGAAGCAGCAACCGTTAATAGTTATCAAGAAGAGTGTTTCTTTGACATGTTTGATGATGCATAGAGTTAAATGCTTGGTTAAATGAAAAGATTACCATAATGTACATCAGAAACAAATGCAATAAATGTGGATTATCCATTTTGGCACATAGCATCATGTATCCATTAGAGTGGAAACCATGAGAATTTGTTTCAGCAGTCTTAATTTAATATGCATATTTTCCTTAATCTTCTTTTCTATTTATTAGGATAAAGACTCTTCATGCTCAAATTATTGAAAAAGATGCTATGATTAAAGTGCTTCAGCAGCGTTCTCGTAAAGACGCCAGCAAGTTGGATCAGCCATCTTCCATGCGTCCTTCCAAGTCACTTATGTCTATTTCTAATGCCAGTTCAGGTCTCCTCTCCCACTCTTCTGCTCTGAGTAGTACACCAATTCTCGAGGAGAAGAGGGAGGACAAGAGTTGGAAAGGCAGCTTAGGTAAGACTTCATGTCATTGGTCTCTAATTTTTTTTTATTACATATTTTTTATGCTTGGGTTCAGGAGTTCATTCACACCTGAAGATGGTCAGAGCTGTGTTTCAATACAGCCAGTGTGTAATAAGGACATTGCTGTTATGGAATGGGTATGGGATCCCACATAGGTCCATCTTCAACTTATTTTCTCTGGATGCTTTCAATGGTAACCACTTCTAGACATGTATACTCTTTTACAAGGCTGTCCTGCACAGAAAAAATGAACTTTGCTTTGTACCATCTATAGTGAGGATGAGAGTCACTAGTGGCACATGACTGGCACTTTAGGAAATGCTTCTTAGGCTAAGGAGGCATAGTCACACAGTATTCCCAGATGCTGGCTACAAGGGGACTTTTATGTAATCAAGACATCCTCTACAATAAAATAATTTTCTTAAAGTTTGAACTGCAGTTGTCGTCTGATTGCAATTTATGTTCTTGTAGAGAAAGGTGAACAATAACTTAACTTATTTGGGTTCCATTTTCAGGGGTCCTCCTAGCAACAGAATATCGGTCAGAGTCCATCTCATCCACTCCATCACCTGTACTTCCATCAACACCCCAACCCTCTGGACACTCAAAGACTGGTAGCCGAGACTGCTGCACACAAACAGATCGAAGCAACGAACAGAACAAAACTCCTTCTTCTGTGAGTGCATCTCCAGGCCCGGGGAGGCTGGCCACTCCGAGCCCCATGTATAGCTCTGAGAAAAATGGTAAGTATTAGTTGTGGGTGATCTTAGTTATAGCTGATTTTGTCCAGAGCTCCATTAAGCATATTGAGCATTTGTTCTAAGGTAACTCACGGTCAGGGATTTATTTTTCTTTTAGTTGCCCTATGTCTTCTACTACTGTTAACATTTGGTATATGGTAATGGATTGTATAACCTGCACGGCTGCAATCATTACTTGTACACCATGTTAGAAATGGCTATTTTTCTAAAAGTTAGTACATAGTGTTGTGGCAGGTAGATATCCACTCATGCAGAATGAAGTATTGTGACTATGATGGAGCTGCCAATAATGCTAAAGGAAAATACCAATGTAAAATCTGCTTTACTTAAGTATGCACAAATAATGTTGTTTATATATGTTCACTAACTTCAAATACTCGCTTATCTAGTTTGAAAATATTTATCACTCACAGAGACATGCATCAAGATCACATAATGGAATTCTTGCCCCATCTAGAATATATGCTACCCACAGGAATCACTCTGTTGTCTTTTAAGGCTAGCAAAGCAAGAAATACATTTTGTATTACTCTCTAGCTAATTGAGAGCTTTGAATAGAAGTTTCCCTAGTTATCCTTCTCTCTGCATTAAACTGGTGACAGTGTAGTTTAACTATACTAAAGTCTTGATTTGCCAAAGCTATTTTTTTTCCATTCATTCCATTCATTCATTCTCTCCCACTCCCAGCATGCCTCAATTTTGAGCTAGCATCCTAGGAGGAGGGACATCTTTTCTCTACTGAAGAAAGATTAACCATTTATTTGCTAGCAATTGTTTTATTTTTTTTCAATGTTTTTTTTATTTTCCTGTTTTCGATATTTTGTTTTTTCTTTTAATCAAAATTTTCCTACAGGCTGATTGAGCTAGTCCCAATGTACAGCTATAGAAATTATGCATGGAATCCACAAGAGCTGTCATAGCTTTTCTCCATTTGGTAGACTTTCTTGGCCTCTTTGGCCACCAAGGATGCATATTTGCATATGCTCGTTTGTTCGGCACATCTAAAATTCCTTTGCTTTGCTTTGAGTCCCAAGTACTTCCAGTTTGTGGCCCTGCCACTCAGTTTTTTCACTGCGCATCGATTGTTTATCTAGGTTCTGGCCCCTGTTCCAGCGTTGTTACATTCCCAGGATATTCCTATTCTGGGATATCTGGACAGCCTCTTAATGAGGGAGCACTCGGCTTAGTTCTGACTGATAATGTGGCATGGATAACACAAACCTTGAAAAGGTTTATTTGGACTCTGAACCTTCAGATGTCGGCATTGGAGCCAATTTATTGCTTGCAGTATCTTGGCTTATCCTAGACACAGCTCGAGCCAGAGATTTTCTGCACCAGGAAAAACTTCTATCTGTCTGCTCCCATACTCTTCAGTCCAGGAGTTGCCTAACTCTTCACTTCTGCATGAGAGTTCTGGGGTTGATGGGAGCCTTAACTGAGTCAGTCCTGCTTGCCCAGTTCCATTTAAGAACACAAGAGCTCGGCATCCTGTCATTGTGTGACACGTTGATTCAGTCTCTGGACAAACCCATTCACCTGACACCAAAGACAAGATTATCTCTGGCCTGGTGGCTCAGGAGTCCAGTTTTGGAGTTAGAGAAATCCTTCCTTCTGATCTATTGAAAGATCCACACAATGCATACCAGTTTGACAGACTGTGAAAGAGTCCTAGACACCTTGTAAGTGCAGGGAACTGCGCGCCGGAGGAATCCCATCTCCCGATCAGTATTCTGGATCTCCAAGCAATTTTGGTTGTCCCTACAATGCATCAGGAGTTGGGCTTCAAGGCCCACATATAGTGGAAGTCTGAACATAGAACAGTTACATCTCAACATAGCTGAAGCTGTATAGGAACATTTGAGCAGGTAGGAAAAAAAAAAGTAGTCAGGGTCCAGAAAATCTTTATGGCAATTTCCATAAAAAGCCTGGAATAATTTACGACAAGACTACTAGAAAAAAACAATAACTATACAGCAGTGTGAAGAGAAGCCACACAAAATGTAAATTTTTCAGAAAATACAAATTCTTGTCTCTTTGTAATGATTGTTTAGATGTTAAGTTTTTTTCTGAGCATATGTACTTAGTGCTCAGATAAGACTTTTGCACAATATGTGTGGGTAGACCTCTGTAAAAAGGTGTAAAATAACTAAATTACCTCCTTGTTATAGAGAAATATTCACTTAAAAACCTGTTTGTTTTCTCTACAGATGCAGTTTTTCAGTCCAGCACACTGGATCGGAAAAATCCGGTTGCACCAATGAGCCAAGATCTTTCGGATGGAGAGATGGTGGAATACCTCATATAAGAAAGACATATATTTTTTTAACATTTGTAGTATTTATAGGAAGTTCTGCCCCAAGCCTATTTATATGAATTAGGATATTAAGCAGAGATGAAAGAAACCCTGTTATTTTGTATATGTAAATGCAATGTATCCCATTTGTACAGAAATAAAAGGGTCTTGTTTTTTCAGGGTGTTTTATAACTTATGGTAAAAAAAAGCCTCAGAGACATCCCTTTCTAGAGCTTTATAGAAATTTGACACAAAGCTAAACACCTGCCAAGAAGGCTCTAATAGAAGGAGCAGTTTTCTTGCCCACATACGAGTTCTGGGAGCATATACATCAATTAAATAGGCTTAATTACTCTGCCCTTGAACTTGTAGGTGAGCTTCTGAAACTGTTCAGCTTGGTGACAGGTTTTCTTTAACATGAGCAGAATATATGTAGAAAGAGGACACAGCTTCCTCTTGTTTGGGGACCTAGCCGGATCAGTTATCTGGAAAGTGGAATTCGTTTTTTTTTTCCAGCATCAGCCGCCTGGTTTAGGAGTTAAAGTGGCTGTTTGAGGAAAAATATGTAATTTGCTCTACATGGCTACTGTGGAGTTACAGAGTCACACATGCAGTTGTGGTATGGGGGTTTCCATTCAAATTATTAATGGCAATATAACTGTTAGGAGCAGTGTTCAGAATTCAACAATTGATGTAGGATTGCAAGTTTAACTGCAAAACACATATTGGTGGGACCCAAGGACAAGATTAGGAACACGTGCTTAATAATTCATAGGAACAAAAGGGCATTTAATTTAACCGCTTAACCACCTTGGCCTTAAAGGAAAGTGCACCTTAACCTTCCCTCCAGCCTCACATTCAAGTGTATTAAACACAGTACTGTACCTCCGTCATATATAATCAGTGGGTAGGGTGCCAGACTATGTACTCTATGGCCTGACCAATGTGTGGTCAGCACATGTACTGGATCCTCAGGGTTGGAAGAGAGGGGAGAAATGGTGAACACTTCTGCACCTCTGGCCAGATTGGCCGATAAGTAGGACCATTTATACTTAATTGAGTCACTGTGTTTAATGCAATTACTAATGCACAGGGTGGGGGCTTAATGTACAATACAGCAAATGTTTGTGGATACCTGGCCATCACACCTACATGAGCTTGTTGGACATTCCATTCTTAAACTATAGACATCAATATGGAGTACTTTGCAGGTTTAACAGACTCTACTCTCCTAGGAAGGTTTCCACAAGATTTTGGAGTGTGTCTGTGGTAAATTGTGCCCATTCAGCTGAAAAAAAAAACATTTGTGAGATTACGTACTGATGTTAGAGGAGCTGGGTGACAATCAGCATTACATTTCATCCAAAAGGTGCTCATTATGGTTGAGGTCAGGGCTCTGTACAGGCTACTTAAGTTCCTCCACACCAAACTCATCCAATTAGGTCAACTATGTAACTGGCGTTTTGCACAAAGGCATAATCATCCTGGAACATAAAAGAGCCTTCTTCAAATTGTTTCCACAAGGTTGGAAACTCACAGTTATCTAAAATGTCTTAGGAGATGGGATATTGCAAATGCTTCAGCATACAGTCTTTGTACTTTATGCTGTATCTTTAACAATACCCTTCACTGGAAACACCTGAACTCAATAATTTGAAAGGGTGTCCACATACTTTTTTCCATATAGTGTATTTTTTTTTTTTTAATGGCCTGCATCATCAAATGCACTGGTATTAGCTGCATCGGGCAGAGAGCTTTACTGGGAACTCAATTATGAAGGTCTAACTGCAAGAGTCTCAAATATAAGCATATAGAAGTTGGTTATAATTTAGTGAATTCACATTTTTAATGCAAAGTATTGTGGTATTTTTACATGTTACTCCTTTATACGCCATACTGTTTTTTTTTGTGTCAGATGCTATGAACTAATAGTAAGAAAATGTGGCAACATTTTTACTAATCTAGATTCATTGGTAAAGTCTCACAAAATTTCTGCACGCAACATGTTTAGTGTTGGATTGTTAGCCAGTCACAGCATGATGCAGCATGTGACGGCTCAGTGTAAATTGCATGAATATACTGTGTTATGCTGTGATTTGACTGCATCCGTAGCATTAATAGACTGGGAAATTTCATACAAACTAAACTACAAGAAACTCTTACTACAGTTATTACATCCTTTTATGTGTAGCATACATCATAAGGCTCCAAAGTAATTAGCGTGAATCTAGTCTGTTAACTGAAGAGAAGGAGCATAGAATGCAATCAATGCTGGTTATTTGGTTATCAAATGCCTTTTGTGTTGTCAGCTGCATTTAGATCACCAGACAATAAAGTGTTGGAATTGAGGTGTACCTTGTGACTACCTTATGACCATCTACTGACATGCCCAAGAGCTTCATAGAGAACTCAAGCAAACAGACAACCTGTGGTTACCTAGCTGCAGTCAGAATCTGGCAGAAAGAATAGGTGGGACTTGTAGTTTCAAGCGTAGCCGCTGGATTAGTCTGCTTCCATCTTCTGGAGCTGTAAATGGAGCCTTCCTATCTGGCTATATAAACACTGGGGCAGAGAAAGAGTAGTGCTCCTGAAAGTAGTCAAAGCTTGCTTTCTTCTTCCATTTGTTTACAGTTATAACAGGTATATGTAGTTACTGTGCTGCATGTTTAATTGCATATGATTCTACATGTATTGAACACATAATCGGTGTTCCTTCCAAGCTTTTGTTAATTTACTGATCTTACAGAATCACCAGCAGGGGTCATGACATTGGCTGCGTTACCTATCTGGTGTTTGCATGCAATTTGCTGTGCGCATCTGCCGATGCCAGTGAACACAGCTAGGCATATTGGCTTTATGACAGGACTATACAAATCACAGGAGCTAGATAACCAAGAGCCTAAACAGATTACAGCTGGAGGCCAACTTTGTTTTCTGCTTATTCTGTGGTTGACGTGATTCCTGGATCCTAAATGAGGATGCTAAATTGGACAGACTGTCTCCTGAATGCTAAAATGGTTTGTATCCCCCCCCCATCCACACTATTTTGACTAACCTCAACTGCTGCCAATGTGAAATGTTGCATTTTTATAAAAAGAAATATATTGGCAACTACAAAATGGTCTGTATTGAAAGTTGCTTCCATTGGTTTGAATGGAGATGTTCTTAAGCATTGAGGTGCTAAGAACCCCTGTACTGTAGTTTCAGATGTTACAACAGTGAGTCCTTAGTAGACCTCATAATGTATTGCTGTGTCATATTTATTCATCCATACAAGCAATATCATTTTTTTTAAAAGAAAAACTTATTTTCCTTTCAGTCGCACCTTGTAGCAGTCATGCTGTTAAAATGCATACTTAACTGCAGGTTCGGTGGATCTATAGGAATATTTTGTATACATATTTTTTTACTTCTGTGTTTTTAATACTTTGATAGTATATGAATGAAGAAAAGCTAACTAGAGCTTGTTCTGTGTCTCAGTGGGGTCTGTCTGTAGTGTCAAAAAAGACCACTTGAGGGTCATTTATAAATGTGTTGTAAAGAAGAGTATCTGCATTGCCCATAGCCAGCAATCATACTATATGTGTTTTTTTTTCTAAACTGAACTGGTAGACGCAGTGCCTATACACAGGCCACTAAAAGAAAGTATTGTGACAATAACAAAAATGCAATAGCTGCTTCTGACACTCAGGAGCCCTTTTGCACAAAGAGATTCTATGTACCACAGCCCCTTGTTGGCTGAATTAGGTAGACAATTGTGGTACATTCTGGTGCTTGAGCAATAAGAGGGGAGAAAAATAAGATATCCTTTCACTTCTTATAATATATTATTTTTTCATTTTTCTTTGGGGGGGGGTGGGAGTGGGGGGGGGGGATGAATCTGTAAACCTTTGGCCAGCCAAAGATAGCTGAAATCTGAATCTGGTTGCTTTGGCCAAGTGACACTATTGTCTGCATTCTATAGATTTGGCCTTACCATCCTGCATGGGAAATACGTTTCTTTTCAGAAGCATGGCAAGTCATAGTTGTCTAGAACCATAAGGATGTAACTTAGTAGTTTAGTCAAAACAAATACCCATTGAAACAATGGGAAACCATGTACATATCTTGCAAATGTACCAAAACTGTAACTAACTTTTAACACCTTTTATTATTTTGTTTGATTGTGTGGGTTACACGCTTAGAAATGACAGTCACCCCTTAGAAAGTTTTATTTCAAGTTAATGACTTTGCACTGCCAAATATTAGCCGCATAGTCCTTTGTAGTGTTTACTCTCAAATTTTGTATTTTTTTTGTATTATTCATTACAATTAGTTATATATTTTCTTTCTGTGACTGTCTGAGTCATCTGCAGTATATTGCAGAGCAAAATATTGTGGGGCAATGTGGCAGCCAAATCATTAATTTAAATATTTGTATAGTTTTAAAGTGAATTTTTTCCTCTGGTTTACCAAGTAGAACTTGGTAATAACATTTTGGTATATGTTCCTCCTTATCATTATTTAGTTATGAATTCCTTTGTGCAGTAGATAATGCACCTAAATGTTGTTGCTTCTGTTATTTAATTAGCCTTTTTCTAGCTGTGGATCACAGAATTCGGCTTATTGAGAGAAACCTGTAGTTTCTGCCAGTAAGATATTTTTTCTTGGTTACACTATAATGGATGCTTTTGGCATATTTCACTTTTTTTTTTTTACACAAAGATCTAAACATCTTTCCTGCCTTTTCTCTATCGTATTGTGTGTCTCTTCCGTTGTTATTGTGAAGCTGACTCATTAGAAAATGAGAAGTATAGTGTTTTTTTGTGCTGCCAAGACTGGCTTAAGCAGGAAATTTCTGTTATAGTGCCAATGCATTTTTTACCGTAGTGTTTTGGCTGCTGGCCTCTCATCTGTTTTTTCTGCCAGTACCTTGCGTTAAGATGAGAATAACGAGAGGTTTGAATGAAAGCAGGAAATGTTGGCTTCCTGGATACTCACTCCAATAGTTCTGATTGCATTCTGTCAGTGACTGTTGCTAACGATCACGAGTATGGTCATTTGTTATGTAAAGAACTTTCTCTCCCATTCTGTTAAAGAAAAGGAAAGACATCTAAATATA